ATATATATATATATATATATATATATATATAGTATATAAAAGAGACAATTTGATAGTTTAACTTCACAAAATAAAATTAAATCCTTCGCAATCTTATATGTTATAAAAGGTCCATACTGTACCTGCAGATTCCCCTCTTGCAGGCCGGGATGTTGATTCGATATGCTAGCTCTATATGCTCCTGCTTTATGTCTTCTGGTTTGACAGTTTCCACCCACAGCCACGCGGCTTTATCCAGTTTAACGCGGGGAGCCATTTTATTTCTACACACAACAGAGAAGAAAGCAGCGAGCAGAACAAATAAAATCATTCAAGGCAACCAGACGGCTCCCTGGACATGCTAACATCATCAGAAGCTAACTGTTAGCATACAACTCAATTACAATCATCCTGTTGTCAGTGCTACTTATGTTTAGCCAACTAAAGTTGGTCCATTTAGAGTGTCACGACAAAACTGAACTTACACAATCGAGCATCCATATCATCTAAACAGATATAATAAAATAAGACAGCTACCAACAAATATTAGTTAGAAGCGTCTGCGCTAAAGACTGAACTCGTGAAGTTAGCCTGTTAGCTTAATGTAGCTAGCTGCTTGTGCTAGCACAGACACACTCTGACGCTAATATAAACAATCTATTCTGTTAAATATAAGTATTATCTAACCTCTCATGCGTGTAGCTGCTTCACCATTGTATGCGTGTTAGGTTATAACATTTTATTAGCGGTTTATTTTAGATTTAGCGCCTTTGCGTCAGTTTATAAATAAATAATTCCTCCGCTTAAAATCCACGCTACGTAAACTAGTGACGCAGGTGACGTAGTTACAGAAAGGGACGTACCCGCAAACGCATTTTCTCTTTTAAAAATTTAGATTTGGTTTGATCTAAATGATACTTTTACTGGATCGACTGCCGGCAAAACCAACCAACTAAAAAAAAAACAACAAAAAAAACGTTTTTTTTTTTTTTATACTTGAGCTGATGTTTGTATTCCTATACTGGGGCTGCAGGGGGCGCTGTTTCACAAGTAAAAATAAATGGTTCCTAAACTTGTGCAAAAAACAAGACATTGGATTGACACATAAGTAACCAGAGATGGCAAAAGTACTCACTTTCCTTACTTGAGTAAAAGTACAGATACTTGTGTTAAAAAATACTCTGGTAAAAGTGGAAGTACTGATTAAACTTCTTTACTCAAGTAAAAGTAACAAAG